CTAGCACAGAGAGGAGGGAGCAGGTCTCACCTGGATGAAAAGCTTTCCAGACTGGAGGATGTGGAGAATCTGGGGATTGTGCCTGTGATGTGGATTGTTTGGGATGAAGGGACATGGTACAGACCATTGCTTCTCATCCTGGGCAGTGTGTGTGTCCTTGAAAGGCAGGAAAAGTCATCCTGAGCCTAAGTGAGGCACCAGCCAGCCCAGGGCTGTATGCAAAGGCTCACGGACAAGGAGCAAGGCAAGTCTGTGAGATTCTTTCCTTGTGCTTGCCTGCTTCCAACTGTGACTAGGCTTGGGACTTTCTGAGCCTGATGGGGTTTGTGCAACCCTGAAAGGATCCTTTCCAACCACCTCAGCAGTTTCCACTGGTCCACAGCACCCTCCAGTAAAGGATGCTTCTCCCTGTGGTGGTTTGCTCAGACTGAGAAGCACCAGTCCTGGAGAGAGGGAGGCTAACCTTTCTCCTCATTGTTCTTGTTTGCTCTTTTTAGACTCACAGCTGTCTTTTGACCCAAATGACAATGACATTTCTATGGTACAATTGTTCAGTGTCTATGGTGCATGAAGCATGTTAGCATTGCCTGAGCCAAAGAACTAATGACTCAGTGCTGTGTCTGATGCTATTTTGCTGATGCCAAATGAGCTGCTGCTGTTTATTCCAGCCCCAAAGTTAGCCAAGAACGCCAGATCTCACCACCAGCAAGATCCACAAAGTACCCATGGTATGAGATTCCCATTGTCCTGATACCTGAATTGGGTGAGGTCAGGGTGGGGATGAATAAGCAGCTGTGTCCACTCACCCTTGCCAGGTGTCAGTAACAGGCAGGGACATTAAATACTCCTCACCACCACTGAGCAGCCCCAGCAAGCAGCTGTGTGTATGGAGAGGGAATCCGAGGGAGTATCTTCACACTGGCAATCATTCTGAGCTATAATTTGATTTCAATTCTTTGTCCAGACCCACTATTAAGAATTGCCCCTCTTAAAAAAACCTGACATGGGTGAAATTCAAGCTAATCCCACAGAAGTGCATTTTTAAGTTTTCAGTTACTTTTTTCCATAAAAAGAATGGAATGTTAAGAGTACTTTTACATTTGTAGACACATGATGTGGTGCATTTCCTGTTTGTCTGAAGGATAAGTTCTTGTATGAAGCAAAGCTTTTATTCAGGTTTTAAACTTTAATGTTGGTTAAAAAGTAATAACACATCTATGAGGCATGGTTATGGAGGTAAATATTTAAAGGAATTGCATAAATCTGCCTTGTATCAGGGGCAAGGGTTTGGGAAGGATTCTTCCAGATTTGGAAAGGGAATATTTTTATCTTTTGTGTAGTGGATCAAATATCAGTCCATCCTCCTCTGCCTTTCCCCAGTCAGTGGAGGACCTGAGTGTCTCTGCCAACAGCAGTGTCATTTTCTTTGTGATTTGTGCATGCTTGGTGCATTGATTTTTCCATGGCAGAAAGCAGAGCAAGTTCTCTCTTTAGTGGAGGACTCAGAAAGACAATGTGTAAAAGAGAATCATTGTTTTTTAAAAAAGCAGCTTTTCACTGTTCTTGATTTTTGCTGAGACCAACAGTTCTGGAACCATCCTCAGACTGGGCCTGCCAGCATGTGTGCTGTCAGCCTCTGGGTAATAGCCTGGATTGGGAGCTGGCTGTGGGGCTGTTTTGGGAAGGATAATACCACATGCAGCCTGTGACACTGTTGGTTATTTGCTCCCTTACAGCAGCAGGGGCACGTTGATCCTTGGGTGTCCTGGTGGTGCAAACACATGTGATCCTTTAGCTCTCTCAAGCCCTGACTCCATCAGCTGGTGTAGACAGAGCTGTAGCTGCACATCCTGGAAGTCCATTTTACAACATTCCCCCAGGAGGAGAGACATATCCTTAACTGGATGTGATAATTTTCTCAGGTTTCGAAACTGGAGTTATTTCTGGAGCAGGTGCATTTTGTTGGATTATAGAGCACAGGAGTCATTCCCAGCTGGATCTGTGAGCACATTATTGACAATCCACCCTCTCCTGTAGACCATCAGTACAGTGACCAATGCAGCAGTTGGCACCTTTCCAAAAATGATTTTTGATAGAGGGAAAAGAAAACCAGAAATGCAACTCAGAAAGTTCTCCAGGTTGCTCTGTTGTAAGTCCTGTGGTTTTAGCTGTCCTGCTTTCCTTCTCCTGCCCACAGTTAATTACATGGCCAGGCTGGGAAGACAGGAGGAATATTAAAAAAGCCTGTGTGACAGACTTGTGCAGTCAGATGCCATTTTTGGCCAGAGACAAGGGAAGGAAATGAATTCAATTGTCCCGCCTTGCCTATGGAAGAAGATGCTGCTGTTGAGCAGAGAAGCACAATCTCATAAATTCTGGTGCAAGAAGGGAGAGCTGGGGAGGGCAGGGGGGAAAGGTGACTTGAATGGCAGTCACCATTCTTACTGGTGGAGTAAAAAGTAGCATTTCCCTGTTCTAGATTGTAACAGGGATTGGTTTATGGATCTCTAATTCTTTTTACATTTGGCTCTTTTCATATGAAATCCGAAGACCACAGGCAGAGAAAAACTAAACTTGGCAACCTCTCATCCCAAGCTGCTTCTGGATGGCCATGATGATAGTTCTGAAAAATGCAGTCACTCCTCACCCTCCCATCCCAATATTCTTCTCTCATTTATTTTAACTAGTTCTTTATCTTGTTCCCATTTTGCAGCTTTTCTTCCTATTCACAGTATGGTATGTGTGTTCATGCACACACAGAGCTGGTGGACAGGATCATAAACAGTGCCAGAGCAGAGGAGGGAGAGATTTCTGAAAAATCCAGTGTTCATATTCACATATTTAAAGCCTAATGTGGATAGGTGACTGGAAACATGTTTTGATGGCAAAGGTAACAATGAAATGAGAACATTCTCCCAGTAAGGGAAGCCTGTTAAAAAACAGTGTGTAACTGCAACACATGGAGAACTGGGACCTGAGACTGGACAATGGTGTCATTGGACAAGTCCCAGTGATATCCTGTAACACTTAAAAGGGAACTTTCTGGTCCAGAAGTGGGAGCTACTCTTTCTGCTCACTGTATTTTGAAGATGTGGAAACAGACAAGGAATAGCAGCACTGCAGACTTTTCACACTTTTCATGGTAAGAGACAACAGGCACAGAGAAGTTCCACCTGAGTATGGGGAAGAACTTCTTTACGTTGAGGGTGGCAGAACACTGGAACAGGCTGCTCAGAGATATTGTGGAATATTTTTCTCTGGCATCATTCAGCACTGTCCTGGACACAATCCTGTGCAATCTGCTCTGGGTAAATCTGCTTTAGCAGGGAAACTGGACTAGATGATCTCCAGAGGTCCCTCCCAACCACAACCATTCTGTGAGTCTGTGATACCAGAAAATTTCCAGTGGCATACATATTTCCACATTCCTGTGCTTGGCAGCAGATCAGTGTTTTCAAAACTTTCCAGTTTAACATCAACTGTATTTTTCTTTCCTTTGCTGACAAAAAAAGACCACAATAATCTGGAATAGATTGTTCTGTTCACAGCAATATGAAAAAGCTCTTGTTCATAATTTCTATTCATTTGTTTTGCTTTCTCTGAAACTCTAACAAAAGTTTGTGCATTCATTAGTTCTTGTTTAAAAAAATAACAACCCAAAATGTAATTTAATTACTAAGAGTACTGTGATTAAATTTGGCCTTTCACTTTCCTTCAGAGTCAACCTCCTCAATTCCATCTCCCCAATGCCTCTCTCTGTAGTATCGATTCAGTACTGTTAACCTTTCTTTATTACTTGTTTATATTTCCCCATCAGTTTAAAAACATCAATAAGAGGCTTTTTAAAAAGGACAGGAGCAACAAATAGAGAGACATTGAGGAAAGGTCAGGGATGCAGAAGAAGGCAGTGCCTACTTTGTGGAAGGAGCAAACAGGCAGTACAGAAAGGTTACTGGTCCTGCTGCTGAAGTGAAGGAAGGATTTGTTTATTCTGCAGAAATGTCTGCTACTGGTGTAGCTTTAGCATCAGACACAAAGATCTGTTCAGCCCAGTCTGAGCTTTGGGGTACTGGGGAGGGCTGGACATAGCATCAGGAACGTGGCTGAGGTGGTCTGCAGCATCCTTCCCTTCAGGGCTCAGCTTTAGGTGTGTTGTGTTGATTCTGCTTTCTGTGTGAGCATAAACCCAATCTGAGGGCACACCGTGCTCTGCTCAGGGCTGTGCAGGGTGTAGATGTGTTGGTGGGCTGTGGCAAGGAAGCAATGTCTGCATCAGTGTGTGACTGAGGGCATCCAGCCAGCAGCACCTCTATCCTCAGGCCAAGCACCACAAAGGACCCCGAGATGGCTTTGTCTGTTTTGGTGTCTGCTGAACAAGGTAAGAACCCCAGCTCAGAGGGACTGGCTCAGGAACCTCTGCCTCCTCCTCCTCCTCCTCTTCCTCCTCCTCTTCTTGGCCCATAAGGCTGTGCTCTGGGCAACCTGGAGCTCACTTCCAGATCAAATCCTCCCCTGAGTGATCCTCTCCTTTTCCTTTGAAAGCAGCAAAGGATCAAGCCATTATAGCAGTAAATTTTTCAAACACTTCAGGGGTAATGTAAATCCTGCTCAAAGGTCTCCAACAGCAGGAGAAGCCCATTAAGGCCTTCCCATTCCTGGCTCCCCAGAGACATCAGGGCAGCTGGAGAGTGGAAGGTTCATGTGGTGGAGGAGGGCAAGAGACACCTTGTCCACCCCCAGCTCTCTGAAGTCTTAAAGATTCCTGGCACCTATAAGATAAGTTCTTTTCACTGTTTGCTCTGATATTACCACTGCCGCTATCAGACCATGCCACTCCTCTGTCTTCAATAATAGTTTCAGATTTTTCCAGTCTCCAGAAACTCTGTCTTACACAAGACAAGATTTTCCAACAAAATTGTAAGAAAATGCTTAATTTTTTTTTTTGTTTTTCATGGTTTAAAAGCTGTAATACCTTTAGCTTCAAGAAAACAATCTCTTACCCTGAAGACTTTCCTTCTTTTGCAGTCCAGTACAGGCACAGTGCAGGAAATGTTATCCAACATGGAGAAGACCTCCATTCCACACAGCAGAATGTTCTCTTAAAAGTAGATACAAAAGTCATCTTAGTTATTAAATACATATTTCTCATGACCTTTTAGGAACAAATGTAATTACAAATGACATGTCTTCAACTCAGAAAGCTGGAGAAGTAACATATCTCTCCTGTTTTGAGAGGTGACATTATGGTTAGAGAGCATTGAAATGCAAAGGTGATCAGCTAGCAGTCCTCAACATAATTTGTAATATTGATGGTTGAAAAAATAAAAACAAACATCAGACTAGAAGTAAAACAGCATTTTAAATCCTTACGGTAGGTACAATATAGTCAGGATATTGGATCCTTACTGCTTCTGCAAATAGATGATGTATGCAGATGAGTATCATGCATTTTCTCATATAATGACATTAATTACTTACTTGAAAATTCACCTGACAGAAAAATTTTCACTCAAACTTCATGAACAGACATTTCTTCTCACCTTATCCTTCAGTCTTAAAGTTTTTTTCTTTAATTCCTTTTTTTTCTTAAATTTCTTTACTGAGCACAGTGTGGGTTGTTGTGCACAAATAACAGCTTTTTGTGTTGGGCTGTGTAAAGGGGTTTGATTTTTCTGAGATACCTTCCTGTCGGTAGAGAGTGTGTCCTGGCTTGGGCTGTTGGGCTGCCCAATGAGATCACTGCTCTTTACATTTATCCCCTTAGCCAAGGAGGAAAGCCTTGGGAGTTTAAGTGCTGTTCATTCCTGAAGTTCAGCTTTCACCAAGTATTATGGCAAGGCAAGGGATAGAATGGATTTCTCCTCTTGACTGCCCAATCACCTGAAGACCTTTACAGGCAATCAGTAAAACTATGATAAAGCTTTCATTTTTCTTTTCTTTTGAAGTTCTTTATTCCATTACATGATGGATATTTTAGCCTTAAGAATATTGCTTTTCTGCTGGTTTACAATAATACTATTCTGTAAACAGTGAGTGTCTTCTCTGTCACACAGGCAGAGGTGACACCGTGTGCTCTTCATCACAACAAGGTACACTTACTAATGACAGTTCTGGGTGGCAGAAAGTGGGAAAGCCAACAGAAAGAGAGCAGATTGTGTGAGTCCATCTCAGTGAAACCAGCTGCATTCCAGTCCTCTTAGTCAGGCACCTTTCTTTATTTGGGGAATGCGCAGTTGCAGGGTGAGCTCAGTATAATCTCTGCTATGGCATTTGTGCATAAAACCACTGAGGAACTGTCACTCTGTGCTGTGAAGAATGCAGTCACACACTTTCAGGGTAGCCAAATGAGAATGAAAAGAAGGAGGGTGTCCCTGGCCATGTGGGATAACCCTAAGGTTATAACCATAAGGGGATGACCTTGCAATAAGTCCTGTGATTCAACATAGGTCTGAATTACAGTCTCTGCCTTTTGTTGTTATGATGTGATTCCAAGAGTCAGAACAAAGTGAGAGACAAAAAAAAAGTTTTGTTCTAGAAAAAGCTGGAGGCAATATTTCCAATATTATCTCAAGAACATGAGCAAAATCCTTTCTGTAGCAAGTTTTTCTCAGTTAAATCAGGATGTCTATCTTCTGTTTTACCCTGGTTACCCCTCATCACTTTCCTGAAAACATTGAGATAAGAGTTTTCTGTAGCAGCACACTTCCCTAGACAAGAGCATGGTATGTGCAAGACAAAAGAGCTTCTGCCTGAATGGCCTTCCTCCATACTCCTTATTCTCTTATTTGGAAATGAGTTTGTCACCCAATCAGAGAACAAAAAAGAAGTCTAAATCAGCAATGAATGATGAGTGGAACATACACATCTCTTACATCCAGACAGTTACATGACAGTTCCAGCCCCTGGTGACAGTGATTTAAGAACCAACTGATTATAATAGATAGACAATAAATCTTCATTTACAAAACAAAACCAAACAAAAAAATAATAACAAAACCTCTCCTTGGTGATTCTGAAGACTGCAAGTGTTTAATCTCTAGGAGAAGAGATGGTAGGATAAATGTTTTGCTTAGGGAGATGCTGGAATAAATGGTTAAAGACAGTGTGAGAAAACTCATTTAGCAGCAGAGAGAAATGATGGTTGGGCCTTTCAAGTCAGTGGTTAGCAGTGATTTACAGGGATCTAGGTATCTTCCTTTTGAGGTACTTCTTTACAGTATGGAAGTCAAGACATCAACAGTCAAGATGGGTTAACTGAGGGCATTAAGAATCACTTTCTTTAGGTGTTATTAGGTTTTTGCCTTTTTTTCTTTAGAAACAGTGGCTCTGCCTTTCTTAGATTCCTGGTGCAGGTCATCTTCGATGTATAGCTTGAAGCTGAACACATTTCACTTGTGCAAGTGATAACCCAGCAGAGAGACCCAGGCTATTGGAAGCAAGACATCTCTAGGAGTAGAAGCAATATCAAGAACAATGCATTTTAGTAATCAAACAACTCACACCATAAGAAATCCTCAGAGGAGAAGCTGCAGGATATAGGTTGTAGACTGTTCTAGCAGAAGAGACTGTATTACAAATGAAAGCAAATGCTTGATGTTACCTATTAGCAGTGGATCAAAATTCCAACTTCCAAAATCAATGCACATAATCTTAAGAATAATAAGACCAGAAAAATTAAAATTTGGAAGAAAAGGTAAAAGTACTAGGAGTATGATGGGGTATTAGAGGACCACATTAGGAGGGAGCTTGTAGATTCACTGTTGTAGATGCCTTCTCATCAAGGATGCCTTTGTAGAAGATATGTTGGTCTAAACATACATTTTGTGTTGGTTAATTAGCTATCAATTAGTAATATCAATGAAGTGTCATAGGTTTTATATTCCAGCCAGCGTGAATATGTCCTTCTGAATCTGGAGAATGAGTCAGGGAGGAAATCACTGAACACAAGGAGCAACATGAAAGTGGAGTTCATCCTCTTGGCTCTACTCTGAAAAATTCAATGCCTAATCAGCTCTTGGTTCCTCAATAAAGCATTTCTACCCCCCAGACATATTCTGATGGGGCTCAGTGTAATCTGTAAATACAGATAGAATTGTTTTTAACCTGGGACTCTACATAGCATTTTCAGGAAAGAATCCAACTAATGCACAATGAAGTAATTTTCTGTAATTATGGTTATGTACTGTTGATACTTAGTGTAACCAAAAGAAAGAAAGTAACCAAGGGGTTTTTATGAAATCAATTAAGTGGAAAGGAAAAAGAAAAGATGGATAATGAGGTGCTCTAAATATCAAGAGTTTCATTAATGTGAACTGTGCTGAAGGATAGATTATTTTTTGCCCACCCAGCATTTATGGGTGGGCAGAGAATTACCTGCCTTGGTAAAAATCTACCTCCTTCTTCCCTTGAAAGACCACTGATCTAAATCAGTAGAAATCAGATTAAAGGTTTAACTATTTGAAACATCAGGTGTCAATTAGAAACTTGGAAGAAAATTTTCTTCTCTATCATTACATCATGTGATGGAGGACTCAAATAACATGAAGGCAATTTTTGATGAGAAAACTCAAGTGATGGGCAGTCTTAAATTCTTCTACTGCAAGGTATTTATGCATGCAGCTTCTGCAAGGATGCTGTGAGGGTGGTTAAACGTTGGAACACTTTGTCCTGAGGGGCTGCAGAGGCTCCATCCCTGGTGAAGGGCAGGTCCTGAGTAAGCTGCTGCAGCTGACCCTGCTTTGGGAAGGGAGTTTGGGCTAGCCTACCCTGAGAAGCCTGGGGAAGGTATGCTACAATATTTGATACTTAGGTAATTTGTTCGCTCACAACTACATGGTCTGAATGACTAAATAAACAATAATTCTAAGAGAAGTAAAAATTAATAAAAATCTGACAAGGAAGTAAATAAACAATAACTTACTCCTAAATTTCAGCTATACTGACAATTATTAACTGTCCTTTTCTTTGTGTAGTCTACTGCTCAGCCATTTCTAAAGTAACTTTTTATCATAGCTTATAGTTTTAAGTTTTTCTGAACAACAAAACTTGATTTAAGCTGGTCTAAACTGTTGCCTGGTTTAGTTTTTGCTAGCTGCTCCTTGCTTCACCAGACTATTAGTCTTAGCTATGCTTTGCTCCATTTCTTGAACTCACAATATTGTCCAGATGTTTCTCTGTTTTGCTGCCATATTTTGCTGCTTTACTGCCTGTGAGAGTGGAAAAGAATGCACAAGTATCAGCTCAGCTCACAGGAAATTAGGAAGTAGCTTATTCTTTTCATACAGCTGCAAAATCTCCTGTTTCTCCATGTCCCATCTGTAGCCTTTGAACTACATTGCTAGGAGGGACTGTCTAAAATTAATGGGATGCCCAGACATAGCTAATTAGCTGAAATTTCTGTGCACTACTGTGAACACAAACTACTCCTTTATTATGTAATTTCTAATTTTTCAACTATAATGCAAGAATGCAGAGCAGCCATATTTCAGGCAGTTTTTTCCTTTCCACTTATTCTTATTCTTAAATTTTTTCTTATTCTTTTTTTATCACATGACCACTGCATAGTCCTGTCTTTGTTGATGTGGTTTTGGTTTTGGGTTATTTTTACTGGGTTTGTTTTGAACCCTTCTGAAGTTCATGGGGAAGAATGAGATATAGGAATCTTGCCTTCCTTCAAGTCTTGGTTCCAACCTTTTCTGTGCATTTAAACCTTTGTCTAGAAGTGACCAAAACCAGATGATGGGCAGAGTCACTTTTCTCAGGACTCTCTGTCTAAGTCATTATCACTTCCCACAAACAGATTTCACCAGAAAATGGTTACCTCAGTTAAAAAATGAAGATTGAAATGAACTCCTTTTCAGTATATTCTTGAGAAAGAAGCAATGCCTCATATTCAGCTGTACCACAATTCCTGAAATACTCTGGAGTGCTTTTCCTTTAGGAAGGAATATGTAATTATATGTAATGGTATTAGCTGTTAATCCTTGCTATAATATTTATGTTTTAGAACAACTGGTGTCACTGTACAGTCCCTATGTGTACACATAGTAAAAGAAAATCCCTATCTCAAACACCATTCTGTTCAAACTGACAAGGCAG